TGGATATGATAATGAAAATTCGGATGATCATGATGATGATGATGTTGATGATGATAATTATGTCGACGCTGAAGATGGTGATGTTTATGATGATCTTCATGATGGTGATGACGATGATAATGATGATGATGATGAAGATGATAATGATGATGACTTTGCTGATTGTGATTATCATGATGATGACGATGATCTTGATGATGATGAAGATTGGGATGATGATAATTGTGATGCTGATGATGACGATCATGATTCGGATGACGATAATGATGAGGATGATGATCACGACGATGACCATGATGAAGATGAAGATGAGGATGATGATGACGGTGACGAAGACGGATAAGATGATGCTGCTGATGATGACGATTCGGTTCTTGATGAAGATGATGATGATGATGATGATGATGATGATAATGATGATGATGAGGATGATGATTCGGATGAAGATGATGATGATGTTGATGAAGATTATTCGGATGATCATGACGATGATGATGTTGGTTCGAATGTTAATCAGGATGTTGATGTTTCGGATGCCGATGATGCTACGGATGAAGACGATGATGATCAAGATCATCATGATGACGTTGATGATGATGACGATCATCAGGCTGATGTCGGTGATGATGATGATGATGTTGATGATAATGATAAGGATGATGATGTTTCGGATTATGATGATGATCATGACGATTCGATTGGAGATGGCGATAATGAATATGTTAAAGATGATGACGATGTTGATGAATGTGACGATGATGATGATTCGGATGTTGATGATGATGGTGATGAAGATGATGATGAAGATGATGATGGCGATAATGATGATGATGTTGATGATGTTCAGGATCATGATGAGGATGATGATGATGATGACGATGTTGATGATGTTCATGGTGATGATAATAATGATATTAACTCGGCCGATGCTCGTTAACGTCATGTTGAAGACGATGGTGATTCTGATGATTCGGATGTCATTGATGATGGTGATGATCATGTTGATGATTCGCACGTTGACGATCATGATGTTGATCATGATTCGGTTGATGACGATGATGATGGCGATGATAATGATGAAGGCAATGATGATGACGACGATGATGATCTGACGATGATGATGATGATGATGATGATGGTGATGATTGGGACGATGATGATGATGATGATGATGATGATGACGGGGACGATTAAGATGAAGCTGAAATAGATGACCATTATGATATTGATGATGATGATGACTATGATGATGCCGATGATTATGATGATGATATTGAGGATGTTGATGATGTTGATGACGATAATTATCATGATAATGATGATGAGCTCGATATCCACGTTCATGACGCTGATGATGATAATTATGATTCGGATTCGGATGATCATGATCATGATTAGAATGGTGATGCTGATGTTGACTCGGATGACGATGTTGATTTTGATTACTATAGTGTTGATGATGATAATCATGAACAAAAAGTTGATGGTGATCCGTACGATGAGGATGATGATGATGAGGATGTTAACTATGATGACGATGATGATCATCATCATCATGTACAGTCTGATGATGATGATGAACAAAACGTTGATGGTGATCCGTACGATGAGGATGATGATGATGATGAAGTTAACTATGATGACGATGATGATCATCATCATCATGTACAGTCTGATGATGATGATTGTGATGGTGTTTATTCGAATGATGCTGATGATGACGTTGATGAAGATGAGGATGATGATGATGATGATAATGAAGACGATGATGATGATGATGATGATGATGATGATGACGATGATGATGACGATTATGCTTATGATGATGATGATGATGATGATGATGATGATGATGATGATGATGATGATGATGATGCGCATGATGTCGATGATGACGATGAAGAAGATGATGGTTGTGCAAATGTTCATGAGGATAACGCTTTGAAATATGATGAAGATGATGTTTCGGATGATGATGAAGACGATGATGACGATGATGATGATGATGATGATGACGATGATGATGATGATCATGATGATGATGAAGTTGATGATGATGTTGACGATGATGATGAGTATTATGGTGATTCGGATGATGATGATGATGATGATGATTGGAATGGTGACGATGACGACGATTTGGATGAGGATGTCGATGATAATTTTGATAATGATGATGATGGTGATGATGACTGTGATGATGACGATGATTCGGTTGATGATGGTGATGTTGATGAAGTTGATGACGATGATGGTGACGATTCGG